GTTTAAATCGTGCTCAAATTGATTTGATTTTGATGCAATATTTACACTGAAGCTCGCAGGTGGCTATGGTAAGAGGCATGACATTTCCTGACCAGGCGTCGAGTGCTGCCAATAACAGCACACACTGGCCCAGCTAACCAATCACAGCAAATTATGTTTTTCGAACAACCTAGTATGAGAGCCTGTTCTAGTACACCCCCAAAACAAAATCAAGACTTTGTAAAAGAGCATAATAGGACCCCTTTAAACATTTCATATGTTTTTCAGAGACATGGGATTGTATGTTATGACTACTCATAAAATAAGTTGGTGAACTGCGTGTGAAATAGTAATAAAAACATTTATTGTATAACATTGTAATCTGTTTTGAAGATAATAGATTAAAAGAACTACAAAGAGAAACATAAATCGCTAATAACTAATGACAAACAGGTGACCGTTCTTTGGTGGTTTACCTGATTGGTAGGTGTTTAGAAAGTTTAGTGAACATCCCAAGGGAAGGGTCTATTTTGGCATATTTGGTTGTGGACATGTAACCCACCAAAACAACCAGCAGCCCTGAGGGACTTCCTGGATAAACCCCAGTCATGACACCATTCTACAGAAACACAACATAATATCATATTAAACAAATGTAAACAGAACAGAATAGAATAGATGAATAGCTTTTTTATTAGAATTAATTAGAATTAATATTTTAATAAACTTTACAGTTTTATTAAAATGGCCTTTGCAGTCATTTCCAGAGAACAAACTATCCTGAAAAATTCAATTAAACATGATTTCAAAGTGACATTCAGGTCTAATTAGATAATGTCAATCATGTGTAGTAATTAATCAGTTGGATAAGCTGTGAGGTCACCTTGAACCTGATGAACCTCTTCTTCCAGGAGTGGAGGCCAGACAGGTAGACCTGGCGCAGGGCCTCGTGACAGAGTTGCAGGTCGATGCCATCAGGAGTGACGGTGAACTGGAAGGCCACCGCCTGATGCGCTTCTGCCATGCTGACTGCACACTCACACTGTGACAGAGAAGAGTAAGACGTCAGTTAGACAAGTCATAATCAATATAGATTAAATACATGACTCACAGTTCGGAGGAGTGTGCTGGAACTTTATAAATGGTTACTATGATAACATAAACAAACTACTGCTCCATGGTACAGTGAAGATATCAGATAGTAATACATAAGACCACTAGTGAAAATGCTTCTAGTTTGCATTTATATATATTTTTAAATTTTGTTTAATACAACATTTTCATTACAAATTATATCAGCATATGATGATGAAACTTAAATTGAAAAAGTAACATGAATTGAAGGAATAGTTCACCCAAAAAACTGACTCACTCTCAGACCATCCAAGATGTAGATGAGTTTGTTTCTTCATCAGAACAGATTTGGAGAAATGTAGCATTGCATCACTTGCTCACCAATGGATGCTCTGCAGTGAATGGGTGCCGTCAGAATGAGAGTCCAAACAGCTGATAAAAACATCACAATAATCCACAAGTAATCCACACTACTTCGGTCCATCAGTTAAAGGAACACTCCACTATTTTTGAAAATAGGCTCATTTTCCAACTCCCCTAGAGTTAAACAGTTGAGTTTTACCGTTTTCGAATCCATTCAGCCGATCTCCGGGTCTGGCGGTAGCACTTTTAGCTGTAGCTTAGCATAGGTCATTTAATCTGTTTAGACCGTTAGCATCAGGCGCAATGATATTACGCAGCGCCTGAAAATAGTCCCCAGCTAGGTAACTTCCAATAAGCCTATTTTCAGGCTGCTGCACCCATGGTACGGCAGCAAAGTTCCTTGATTATTACGCCGGAATGAGAGTATAGTTCCTAGCCATATCGGCCTAGAAAATCGCAACTTTTCATTTTCCGTCAATCTTAGTACACGATGTAACTACAGAAGAGTCACGTTTTAAATAGGAAAAATATAGAAACTCTTTGGTCATTTTTGAGCGAGATGCTAAGGGTCTAATCAGATTCAATGATCTATGCTAAGCTACAGCTAAAAGTGCTACCGCCAGACCCGGAGATCGGCTGAATGGATTCAAAAACGGTAAAACTCAACTGTTTAACTCTAGGGGAGTTGGAAAATGAGCCTATTTTCAAAAACAGTGGAGTGTTCCTTTAACATCTTATGAAATTAAAAGCTACGTGTTTGTAAGAAATAAATCCTTCATTACCTTCAAACCAGTGCTTCTAGCAAAAATATATTATAAATACGATATGTACCATAATATTGCTTTCTCCAGTGAAAATGCAGTCTCGTCTGAATCAGGAGAGAAATATGTTACAGGTGAAACCAGTCCAAAACAGTTCTAAACAAATATGTCAGTGGATTTTGATGTGAGAGGACAGCAGGAGATGGACTTTTTGTGTTTTAACTTCAAAATGTCGCTTCTGTCCAAAATATGAGTCCATAATCCAAAATAATGCTTACACCAGAAAAAAAGTCCATCTTCTGTTGTCTCTCACATATTTGGTTAGAACTGTAAATGGAATGGACTCATATGGAATACTTGTGGATTATTGTGATGTTTTTATCAGCTGGACTCTCATCCTGACGGCACCCATTCACTGCAGAGAATCTATTGGTGAGCAAGTGATGAAATGGTACATTTCTCCAAATCTGAAGAAACAAAAACAGGGAGGGGGCTGGGGGGTCAGTGCCCCTTTAATTACCAACGCTAAAGTGCCCTTTTGGTCTGATCTAGGTGCCCCTGGACTGCGATTTCTACAGAGGGGTAGCACATTTTCTGCAAATATTCATTTTTGGATGAACTATTTCTTTAAAAAAAAAGTACATGAACAAACATCGTATTATATAACACAAAGCCACTTAATGTGAATTTCAAAATATGTTGTTGTAATAAAACATTAGCTGTAATCTAATCACATTTGTTCTGCCATTCAGTGTGACCTCAAGCATTTAACTGCATAACAGATAACAGAGTGCATTACAGAATGTGCTTTATTCACGACCTCTGTGACTCTTTCACATGCGCTTGTATTGTAAACATCGCTCTGATGTAAATAAATAAAGCTGCATGGATGTTGTCACAATGATGTCTTACTTTTTGGAGCAATCATAACATGATCATTTAAACAATGCAGTATATTTAATATAACAGGTCTGAGATAATTGAAATAGAATAGAAAGTGAGTATTTAGGGTTTATGTCCTTGTCACGTTTTCAAAACAAAGGCGTATTATTGACCTCTCTTACTGTATGTTAATAGATGATAAACTGGTTTGTACAAGAAACAGGCAGACCGAACTCTTCCCTGAACCAGCTAGACAACTTCATTCAGTCGCTCAATTAGATGAACAATGGTTAATCTACAAACCACTGATTTACTACAAACACAACCATACTATTATACTCTTGTGAAAAAGAAGTCTGCTTAATTGTATTGAATGTGCACTTGGAGTGTACTTCGAATCTATAAATATTATATAGATTATAATATTATACTTATAATATATATATTATACTTTAGATATATTATACTTACAGATCATATAATGCGTATGAAATTAAATAAAAGGCCACTAAGTGTACTTGAAGAGTCCACTTTCTTCACTATGTTTCTTTATGCACTTAAGTGCACTTTTAAAAAGTGCATTTTGCAATCATGTCAAATCAAAAGTTTTAAAGTACATTTTAAATCATTATTTTTAATCATCTTTTATCATGCTCTAAAGAAGTACACTTATATTGATGTGTTGACTAACATACTAAAGTACACATAAAGTACAGAACTATAGCTTTAACTAATTAGTAATATTACATTTAAAGATAAAATATTTGAAATTACTAAATTATAACATCATTACAAACGTGTGATCACAAAAATATTTTAATACATGACAGAAGATTCAATAGAAATTACGTTAAAATATATTTTAGTGCAAATAAGGACATTCAGCAGCACATTTTAACCATATTTCAACGACAATAGAAGTACTTATAAAATTACTGTACATATGTGTAAGTGACGTGACGTGACATGACGTGAAGTGTGGCCAAGCATGGTGTCCCATACTCAGAATTTGTTCTCTGCATTTCACCCATCTAAGTACACACACACAGCAGTGAGTAGTGAACACACACACACACACCCAGAGCAGTGGGCAGCCATTTTTGCTGCGGCACCCAGGGAGCAGTTGGGGGTTCTGTAGTCTCGCGTAGCCAGACCTTCAGACTGACGCCTGAAGGTCTGGAATCCATGGCAGCTTTCATTGGCCCATGAGGCGGGCCTTGGCCAAATTGGTTGTTTGACACCGACATGTCAAACAACCAATCACAGTTCGTTTCGTTCAGCGTCACGTTTTGGGGCGTGGAAATGTCGCCACAATAACAGACCGGTGTGTAAAACTCTCTGACGTATTTTAAAGATTCTATGCAGCAAACTTTAAATATTTCACACACTTTTGAGAATCCAGCGTTTAGTTGATCCTGATAAGCGCTGGTCGTCACAGTTGTAAACACGACAGCTTTCTTCTTTCGTGAGTGGGTTTGGCGCCACGGCATCTTCGTTTCCAGGCGGAACGTTAAAGAACGCGACACACATGTTTCCCGGAAATCCTGTATAATTCAACCAATCCGATGACGACTTCGAAACTCCTGAAGTGTTTCCACTTTTGTGTGCCATATGCATCAGACGTTTAACCAACAGTCTGTGGGCATGACGTCTGAGGCTGAGACTAGGGTTTCTGAGCCTCACTCAAGGACACCTCAGTCGTGGTATTGGTGGAAGAGAGCACTGTACATTCACTCCCCCCACCGACAATCCCTGCTGGACCTGAGACTCGAACCCACAACCTTTGGGTTACAAGTCCGACTCTCTAACCATTAGGTCACGACTTCCACGACGCACTTAGATGCAAAGTAAAAAAAACACTACTAAAGTAAAAAAAAAACACTCTAAAGTTCAGATAATTGTATTTAATATAAATTTAAACTACCATACATCTTTATTAGCATTAGCAATTAAGTGTTTCTTTTAAAGCATATTATTTCCATAATAAGTACTCTTTTTAAAAGCATGCCAGAGTACTTCCTTTATGGTGTCCACTGTGGTGTCCATGGAAACTAATTGCAAATGGCAGTAACCACATGGTTTCAACCATAGATATATACATAGATATATATACGTAGATGCCTCATTAGCGACTGTTTCTATGTGCCGCTTACGTATCGTAAGCCACCCACCATTTTTGGAACGGTCTGCGAACCTTTGAGCGCGTTGACTGTGTGCGTCTACAACAGCAAGTTACGCTTGTATATCTTTGAATACTCATTGATAATTATGGTGAATGACGTCAAGTTGACCGTTCCAAAATGGCGGACGCGTCAACGTATCTGGAGCAGTCGAATAGGGCGTCTATACATATCTATGGATATATATATGTAGATGCCTCATTAGCGACTGTTCTATAGGCCGCTATACGTAAGCCGTCCGCCATATTGTAACGGTCAACTTGACGTCATTCACCATAGTAATCACTGAATATTCGAAAGACGCCACAATTCTGAAAAAAAAAAATGTTATGCACAGAACATAAGGCATTATTTAAAAGTTTCTATTTAAATGTACAATTAAAAAAAATACAAATAAACAGTTCAGCAAGCTATTTCAAATGTTATTGCAATTTTATTAAACGTATTTTTTATTATTAATAATAAGAATAATGTAATTGTTATTATTATTATTATTTATTAATAGTGTATTACAGTGTGTAACTACACACTTTCTTGCTTAACGACCACTCAAACCTTTCTACTTTATGACACATATATACAACAATATTATCATAAGATCGTAATAATTGTTTATAACAGTGATATTATCATCATCTAGCGCAAATCTAATAAAAAATTACCACGAAGGTCATGTCCCGCAGCAGTGATCACGTGACGCACCGGTGCGGATGGAAACTAGGCGAAAGGTCATGCGGTACTGTGTTGATGATACACGCTGCTCAACGCCATTATGGCTCATGTGGCAATATGCTTTAATACGCTGGTATTAAATATTCTGCCACGTGTACGGAGTTGTTCGATCATACAACAGAAAAAGGACCACACGTTTGTATATCTATTTGCATAGTCCCTGCTCTACGAGCGAACTATTAAATTAAAGGGACAGCTCACCAAAATATGAAAATTCATCATTTACTCATACTAATGCTATTCCAGGCCTGTAAGACGTTAAGATGTTAGCCAGAGTTTAGGAAATTGCATTCACTGGTATTGCATTTTTCTTTTCCTTACAATGAAAGTGAATGGTGACTGCTGTTATACTGCATAATATCTCCTTTTGTGTTGGTCAACATGAGGGCTAGTCAATAATTATAGAATTTTACATTAAGCTCTCAGCTTTATGCCCTCGCAGAGCCGGGCACCCACTGACCTCGTCCTGCAACACTCACCAGGTGCTCTTGGGTGTCGCAATGTAAACACACATGCATGCATTTATAAACATAAAAGCATAAATGACATCCATTAGTGTTTTATTCAAAGAAAAACTGCGTTGCCGTCCGGTATCCCCTTGTGTTTTTTTTGTAGGACGTCTGTGTCAAACATAAGGACAAGAATATACCAGGCTGTGCGCTCGTGCACTTTCACCTACTTAAGCGGAGCACGAGCTCCACATTCAGTCTCATGCAGCTGCATAACGATATAGTTGATTCCTTCTGTATTCTTACCTCTATACGTCTCTTCCCGAGATATGGATGATGTGGATCACTGATCACCGTTTTGCCGCCGCCTGCTTTAAGCGTGAGCTATGAATGAATGTAATAATAATAATAATAAGGGCAACTCACTAGACCCGCCCCGCCCCTCGCCGTGACGTCACGCCGCATGGATAGCGGCGCCTTTTTAGGATTGTAAATGTGACCTCAAAGGAATCCCATTTGTTTTTCTCGCGTATATAATTATTACCAGGGAAAAGTAGAAATGTCTGAGAATTTTTGATTTACAAGAAAATCATGAAAATTCTTCTTATTCTTTTTTTTTAGATACAACCTTTAAACTATATATTGCAATATATTGTAA